AGGGTCTAACTTTATTACTAGTTTTTAATAACATCTTTATTGAGATAGAATTCACATACAGAAAACTCATGTACTATATACTGAATGTTCATGTATAAGTCTTTGTGTGGACATGTTTTCAGTTCTCTTGGGTATATTCTAGGTCTTACAGTAACTCTATGTTTAACTTGTGGAGGAATTGCCAATCTGTTTTCCAAGGAGCCTGCACCATTTTACATTCCCACGAGCAATGTTTCAGGGGTCCAATTTCTCCACATTCATACAACACTTCTGTTGTCTGTCATTGGATTCTAGCCTTCTCCGTGGGTGTGAAGTGGTATCTGGTGGTTTGGATTTGCATTTCCCTAATGACTGTGATGTTGAGCATCTCTTCATATGCTTATCAGCCTATTGGCCATTTATATATCTTTCAAGAAAAGTCTGTGCAAATCTTTTGCCCATTTTCAAATTGGGTTATCTTTTTATTTTTGAGTTGTAAAACTTCTTTGTATATTCTAGGTACAAATTCTTTATCAGATATATGTTTTGCAAATCTGTTCATCCCTTCTGTGAGTTGTCTTTTGGTTTTCTCTGAAGCACAAAAATGTTTCATTTCGGGGTGCCTGTGTGGCTCAGTTAAGCGTCTGCGTCTTGATTTTAGCTCAGGTCATGATCTCATGGTTTGTGAGACTGAGCTTCACATTGGGCTCTGCACTGTCAGTGCGGAGCCTACTTGGGATTCTCTCTCTCTCTCTCTCTCTCTTTCTCCCTCTCCCTCTCCTCCCACCCCCCAGCATGCATGCGCACTCTCTTTAAAAATAAATAAATAGAAACTTAAAAAAAAAGCGTTTCATTCTACGATGTTCCATTTATCTATTTTTCTTCTGTTGCTTATGCATTTGGTGTCCTATCCAAGAAACCATTGCTTGACCCAAGAATATGAAGATCTACTTCTCTGTTTTCTTCTAAGAGTTGTATGGTGTTAGCTTTTACATTTAGGTCTATGGTCCATGTTGAGTTAATTTTGTTCTTACAAATGTCTAGCCAGTTGTCCTTGACACTATTTACTGAATCATTTTTCCTTTCCCACCAACTAAAATGGCACTGGTGGAACCAACAGCTAACTGTCCCCAGTATCTGTTCTCCACTCCTGCTGGTAAAAACAGAATAAAAATCTTAGTTAGGCACATAGCCATCCAGCTACAGACCATACTTCCTAGCCTCCTTTGCAGTAGCGGAAGAGATACATGCCCAAGATCACGTTTTCATAAGGAAATCATTTCCCTCCACTAACTTTTCCCCACCATCCCATAGGCTCACATATAGACCTATGCTGGTGAACCACATCAACGTGGTTGACCCCGTGGACGTGGATATCTCCTAGGGGGTGCAGAACAGTAAGATAGGACTGGGTTTCTGGATGACCTCATGGAGCAGAGCTACCTACCAACACCGTGGACCACCTACCCGCTTCTGGGCTGTGATGAGTTAGAGAAAAAAAATCTGTATGTCATTTGATCCACTTTATATTTAGGCCTTTTTGTTGTTACCTTTAATATATGTTATATGTCGATCTAGGCAAGATTTTCCTTAAATTCCCATTCTATTTTATTGATCTAAACCACAGCTGCCATTTCTGAAGTTTTATGATATGTTTAAATGAGGGAATGAGGAGAGGGGAGTAAATCTCTCTCACAGTTTCCAAAGCATTTCTTGGCTCTTCTCCTGCGTTCAATCTGTCCAATGAATTCAGACTAATTTTGTCAACTTCCACCACCTCCTCCTTCCCACCTCCAAAGTCACTGGGTACTTTCCAATCAAAAGTCATTTCTTGGTCTTTGAGAGTTTGTTCACTTTCGAAAGCTATGTGTTATCACACTAGCTTAGGCATGATCAAGGTGCATTTTGGTTCTTGTCACTTAATATGGGCAGCAGCCAGTGTCTAGGGGTCAGCCCGATGTTAAAATATGCCCACTCCACCTCGACTGGTGAGCCGGTCTCATGAGGACAAAGTGAGGGAAAGACCAGCCATGGATATTGTTCCCAAGGAACACTGACACCATGGAGGTGGGTAGGACAAACATGCTTGAATAGCATTTGACGCAAACCATAGAAACAAAACCTTCATGACGACGAGGGTCAAGGCTACCCACAGCTGTAGGTCTGTGTTCCAGGGAGAATCAGGGAGGGGAGGGGAGAAGGTGGCATTGCTGCACCCAGAAAGATTTCCCTGAAGGACCACGCAGCATTACAATGTTCATCGCATGGTGGCGGGGGGATGGGGTTTGTGTGGGGGTTGTTAAATGAGTTGCTTCTGATTTCTCTTATCCAGTGGTTAGAAACACATCACTTTTGGAGGATGCTTAATTCAGTAATATACGGAGTAAGTGCCATCCATTATAACGTATTCTCTTTTTCTCTCCATTGTGAGAAAGTAGTTTTTCTACCAGAATTTGCAGGTGGCCCACTACTTCATTGAACCAATTTAGGACGCTCATTTTCCTTTGTAAAATTGATTTTCACTCCATATTCACATCGAGGGCCCTCCACTTTCTGAATCTGTTACGGCATTGTGGTGGAGAGTATGAACAACTGGAAGTCGAGAGAGCTCATGTCTGACCAGTTTCTCCATTTCACATGTTCACATCAGCTTCATTTTTGGAAAGTATTTTAAAGGAATTATCTAAAGTAGCTTTGTTTCAAAAGTTAGGTTTAAAATATCCCTCAATTTCTCAGCATTAACAGATAAACAAGGCAAAGAAAAAAAAAAGCAATTAAAAAAGTCCTTAAGTATCAGGACTATTTGTGACATCAGCAATACTGCACGGACCCCACCTGGGCCTTATTTCTAGACTGTCCTTCGACCGTTTCATAGTGACTCCTTTATGCTCTTTTAATTTTTCTGATAACAAAATATAAATAGATAATAAATACACATATGTATATATGTATATGTATATTTTTTAGGGGGATGATCAGTTGCATATTTTTGAGGTTACAAGTACAGATGTTGATTTGTGTACACTTCAAAGCATTGCTCTGAATCCTCAGAGTTACCAAATTCTTATGGGCCACACATGTAGCATGTCTTGTGTGGATCTATTGACACAATTTCTCTGCTGTTTACGAAGAGTGTCGATACAGGGACAAAGGAAGGGCTCATGATCTAAGACTATGGGACAGAAGAAGGGAGAGGGCAGTACCTAACAACCCTCGTCTGTCACAGTCCACTCTTTGTCGGGGACAGGGATGTCCTGAGAATGTTTCACCAGGGTCTGAAATCTTCAGGGCTTACAGATAAGATCCCTGACCTCAGGAGGCTTAGATGCCAGGGGAAAGTACACTAAACAAACAGGTCGTTGAGCAAGACAATGTCAAAGAGAGGTATGTGATAAGAAGGGACTGAGCCTGTGACCTGATGGAGACCAGTGGCTGCCCCGTGAGTCTATGGTTAGGAGTCCCTCTGTGCTGTTAGTGAGTTGAGACTCGATTATGCAGAATGAATGGTGCTTCAAGTCTTGATGGCCTCTAGCCCAGGGCGAAGCCCTGGTCTGAGATTAAGTTCCTTCTACGGCTCAGGGTCTGTGCCTTCTGTGCAGCTGCTTCTGCTTTGTGACTGTCCTGGAGAGCCCCCTGCGCAAAGGGGCTCACTGTTCTACAGCCCCTCGAACAGCACCAGATGCACCCAAAGTGTTGAGCACACGTGTTGAATGAATGAATGAATGAATGGAGTAGCATCTGCACCTGAACTCATCTAGATGTCCTGCTTCTCCGAGTGGCCCTCCCTGAGGGAGCATATATAACACCCCCGGGGCTCCCATGCGGGAGCCCCCTCTCCTCTTACAGCTGCATTCCCCTCTGCACCTCAAGCTAGCAAGTCACCAGGTCCCCTTGGCTCTCTTTCTTATGCTTGGGCATTTGGGGTTTTGTCCTCTCAAGAAGTATCCTTAGCTATTCTAACAGCTTCTCAATGGGATGCCTTGCTCTCGGCTTGCCCTGTCCAGTAACGTATGTATTTCTGCCAGACAGGTCAGTACATCATAGGAATCTGGTCAAGACCTCTTGGGGCCCTCCCCCACCGCCAGCCCCGGGTCTTCTCAGTTTCTTGGGATGATCTACACAACCTCTCCACTCTTTCCTTCAATTCCCTGCCGGACCGATCCAACACAGTACCTGCCCACCGTGGGTGTTCCGGAAGGGGCTGAGCTGGACTCGAGGGTCAGCTGGGAAAGGAGCTAGCTGCCGCCCCCCTCACTGGGTGAGGCTGGGCCTGTGGGAGGGGAGATGGCTTCTGGCCTCTGGGGACAGGACAGTCCCCTTCCAGCGAAGCCTCCTGTGGTACCGCCGGGCGCCTTCACGCTGCACTGGAGAGAGCCATTTAGCGCTGTCATTTGGGCGACACCTAAACGTGTGGGCTAGAGGGCGTCCTGGCCTTTTGTGAGCACCCCACCCTGCGGCCTCCTCCCCCGCCGTCCAGCTGCCCTCCCAAGCGAGGCCCGAGAGAACTGGCAGACCAGCGGGGGGTGCTCCAGGCTGGGGGCTGGGAACGTCTGCTAGGGTGGGGGTGGGGCGGGCGCCGGGGAGGAGCAGCGCCCTCCCGTGTTCAGAGGGGGGAATAAAGCAATTACGTTTTCCCAGACACTTTGCATTAGAGAAGATTGATTTGTTCTTCTGATGTGTTGTTTCCATAGAAGCAGGGCTTAACCTTTTAAGTCAAGATTATAAAGCTACCTAATTCATTTAAAATTAGGCTTCAATTCTATCAGCACTTAATGCTCAAGTGTTACTGTGGGACTTGCTACAGACAGTGATCTGACTGCCAGGCGGAGCCTGGGACTTTCTCGATTTGAAGCCGCTCTTTCTGGTGGCTGTCTAGTTTGTTTATTTTTAAAAATTAACTTCCTAAGGAGATATAACTTTCTGTGTAAGATTCCCCAGAGTATTAATAAATACCTTTTAATTAATGATTAGCACTGACTCCTCTTCATAAACACAAGACTGGCACACAGGCACGGAACAGGCATGCTCAATTAAAGTAATTTATTGTGTTCTTCTGGAACGGACATAAAGAGCATCTTGGGACTTGATATCACAACACAACGTTATACACCATTTTCACAACTAGCCTTGTGTTGAAATTTTTTTTAAAGAACATAGTAATTTTAAAAAAATCTAAATATTTACATATTAATAAAACGTATATACAGAAGATTGAGACATCCATAGACACGGAATTTTTCCTTTTGCTAAGAGCGCCTATAAAAAGGATTTCTGAATAAAGTCTGAACAGTAGTCACAGGAAGTAAACACAAATACAATTTGAATGTACAAAATAGGATTTTACTGTCGCCGTTTTGTGATATGTGTCTCCAATCTGTGGATGCATTGCACGTATTTGTGAGGTGAACAATCCCCTCTCCTCCTCAAGTACTGAAAACTCCAAGCAGTCGCCCAGGCTTGGAAGGAAGTGCTTTTGAAGGTTCATGATGCAGATTTAACAGATCCCACGGTTGTAAGGTAAATGTTTCCACCTTTATTAGCAACACGCTCATCTAACTGTAACAGAGTGGAAAGGTCACTAAGGAATCTTTTCAGTTCCCATGAGAAAGATTTCCTTCTGAGGGGCAGGAGACAAATTTTTCAAACCTACGCTGCAGAAAAACCAGAGCCCTGGTGTGTAGTGTTTTCCCCCAGGACTGGGCTCAGGGAAGGGACCACCAACTGGCCTAAAATGAAAAAGGCTGAAAACACCTCTAGGGTGTGCTGCGAACGGTTTCTCTGAACCTTCCTCACAGCTTCAGAAGTAAGACAGGAGACACAGATACGAGAAGCCACGGTCTCGCAGTTAGACTGATTCCACGAGTCACACCTAGAACCAGTTTTGTCACATTTCAGGGAAGCCTCCTACGGTTTCCAGTTGATGAGCTGGTGGTCAGTGGGCCGCTGACCCGCCCCGGAGCCCCTCCCGGCTCAGGTCCAGTGTTGGACGGCACAAGGGCCTTGGACAGGGCGCCTACACAGTAACTTTGAGCTCTGCCGCACTAAGCCTTCGGAAGTGCCAGGCAAAGGTCGGAAACGGTGAGCACAACCGTTTCCCCACCTCTGGCTTGGCATTTCTACGGTCCACATTTCCTTCCAGCCAACATTTGGCCTTTGGGTCGAGCGCCAAAGATTTCACGGTAATTTGCTTTATACAGTGAATGAGGTCTACATGCAGTGTTTGTGAGGAAAACGGTTTACAGTCACCATCTTTTCGGAGAAGGGACTCTGGAGGTAAATATTTCTGTAAAACACGGCAAGATATTGCTTTAGTATAAGCCCATATTTTCGTATGTTGCTTTCATGTGAAGAGGAAGGCAGGTATACCGGGACTCAAATAAAGCATATAATATCAAGGAGCCTTGTGGCTGCCCGCCACGCCGTGCCTGAACACCGGACAGCTCAGTCTAAGCCGTCTGTGAGAACAGTTGTTAGGTATCGTGTCGGTCACTGGTTACTTTGGGTTTCTCACTTTTTAATTAGTTATTTTGTCACTGTGTTGAAGGTTTTTCTTTCCTAGGAATTCACAGATCATTTGCTCTTACTCAGTTACAAATGGCCATTTTTGGAAGAGCCGATGTCACAAACGATTTCATCTAATAGGTCAGAGCTAGCCTGTCTCCCCAAACAACTTTTTCATCTTCCAGGCTGCGGAAGGCCTCGTTAACGTTGGCCTTCACAACCGCTCCCTCAGTGCTAGAAAGAGCTGCTCTCCTGTAAGCTGCATCGATGCAGCGCACATTAAAATAAATATGCGTCAGAACTCTATCTATTCACCTTGAGCTTATGAGAAAAACGAGCAGAGAGAACTCTGCTTTTCAGTGAGCCATGACCAAATAGGTCATACGCTGGACTTCTGAGTGGGGATGAATGAGTCAACTCTTCAAAAATGATTTCTAAAACTCTTATACCAAATTGGAGGCTGCCTGATCACGGAGTACAAAGAAAGAAGATGAAAACTCTGCAAGTATGACGGGGAACGTTCACAGAACACCCACACTCGGCAGGAACCTGAAACGCTACGTGCATCTCTGAGGGAATTCGAATGGGAGAGTTATGTGGGCTCATGAGCACTGTCACTAAAAGGGAGGTCTAGGCAGTGAAATCTGGCTCTGTGTCTTCCGTGTTTCCTCTCCTGGTGTCAAATATATTACCTACAACACAGACAAGACAGTAAAGGGGGGCCACTTCTCCCAAGAAGAGCTGCACAGTTTTCTACGTCGGGGCCAGAGGCGGGGACACTGGGTGGGGAGAGAACCCCGCTGAGGAAGCCTGTGTTTCATACTTAAATCACTAATTTTTCAGCCAAGGCTTTAGTTGGGCTACGTGAGCAATGTCAGAAATGTGTAATGAAGGGGCGCCTGGGTGGCTTAGTCGGTTAAGCGTCCGACTTTCACTTAGGTCATGATCTCGCGGTTCGTGGGTTCAAGCCCCGCGTCGGGCTCTGTGCTGACTGCCAGCTCGGAGCCTGGAGTCTGTTTCGGTCTGTGACTCCCTCTCTCTCTCTGAAACTCCCCTGCTCATACTGTCTCTGTCTCTCTCTCTCCTAGAAATAAATAAAACATTAAAAAAAAAAAGTATGTAATGAAGACTTTTACAGGGAAGTCCATGAATGTGTGTTACTGCTGGGGTATGTCCACATATTGTCCAGGAATACGAAGTGGCTAAATAAGACACACTTCACCTGTAACAAAGAACATGATGCGGCTATTAAAAGCACACGTAGGCAGATTTGTGAAAAACAGAAAATGCTTGTTAGGTTAAAAAAAAAAGCCCTCAGGAAACAAAATTTTATGTCTTTGATCTCTAATTGTGTAAATAAATAAAATAAATATAAAGAAACGTCTGGGGGAAAACACCCAATAATGGTCATCTCTGAGTGGCAAAATTGATTTTTATTTTCTTCCTTGTACTTTTGTCACTTGCTTAAAAGTATGTATAAGACCGCCAATTTGTGACAAAAAAAGGCTCGGCTGGGGGTGGGGGCGTGCGGGGGGGGGTGCTTGCACTATCCTACTTAAAAATGAGATGCCTCCTTTGCAAAATTTAGAAAGCACTGTTGCGATTTTTCTTGCGCTTTACTTTTTTCCCCAGCACAAAGCGCTCCCCAGTCCTGGGGCTCTGCGACTGCCAGAGCACAGTCCACACCTGGCATCCCGCCTGCCTCGCACAGGCAGGGCTCCCTGAGCGCGGGCGCTGGTGCACAGAACCCGCCGGTGCGGATTCCCAGGAGCTACCCAAGCGGACTTACTGGTAGGGTTGTGAGGGGCAGGAAATTAAGAAACTATGTTTTTTCCGCTGTAGAAGCCATACGCGCTCTGGTGGGAGCTAGACAGACAGAGGCTGCTTGAAAGTAGTGGATGAAAGCAAATGTCCCTGGACTGTCTTGACTCTCACCCTGACTTGCTCGATCCTAGTTATTAGAAACACTTAAGGATTTACACCCCTCTCCCCCGCCTTCCTCAACACACGCGGATTTGGAAAGAGGAAAAAGACCTTAAGAGGGTAATAAAGGTGTTGTTCAGTCTTTAGAAACAGGACCACCTGGGGGCGCCTGGGTGGCTCAGTCGGTTGAGCATCTGACTTCGGCTCAGGTCATGATCTCACGGTTCGTCGGTTTGAGACCCGCGTCAGGCTCTGTGCTGACAGCTAGTTGAGAGCCTAGAGCCTGCTTCAGATTCTGTATCTCGCTCTCTCTCTGACCGTCCCCTGCTCACACTCTCTCTCTCTCAGAAATAAATAAAAACATTTAAAAAATTAAAAAAAAAAGAAGAAGAAATAGGACCACCTGTTGGTTCAGCTCAGCTAAACCGGAGAAGAAACGTGTGACCAGTGAGTCTCCTGTGCAAGAAAGGTGGACTTGACCTCTGGGACGGCCTCATTAGGGCACACGGAAGGGAAGGGTCAGTAGCGGCGCTGTGTTCAAAGACGCTGCCCGGACCTGGGATTTTACTTGAGGGCCCATGACGACATGCTAGTCTTGTCAAGATGCTCTGATTTCACTGGCGAAATCGGAGCACCACTGTGCAACTTCTTTCCCCTCCTCTAAATCATAAACGCTCGGATGCATCATGCTGCTGAGGAATTTGTATCAAGTATCCGTAGTCTAGGGGAGAGACCTGCGGTCTCCTACGGCTTGGCTAGGGCGTCACGGCCTTGGGCAGGATTTGAGAAAGAACTCCAGTAAGTGAGTTTAAACTGCAGGAGGATTTCGGGTAGACTTAGCGACGACAGACATTCTAATAGTGAAGACAGACACTGGAACGGAATCCTACGGGGATTAGTACATCCATCAGCTCTTAGAATCTTTAGGAAACATGCACTGAGAAGCTGGCTTTGGCTTAGGTGTAAGAAAGCTATGCGGTGTAATGGCTGGAAGTCGAGAGGCCGGGGCTCCGGCCAGGCCACCAACCCGCTGTGAGACCTGGAGAAAGTCATTTAGTGTTTCTGGGCCTCAGGCTTTTTACCTGTAAAATAAAAGGACTGGATAAAAAGAAGGGATGGGACTAGATGATCTCTAACGTTCCTTCTTTCTCAGATTCCTTGACATTCTTTTCAGTTCCGTGTGACGGTTCTATCATCCCGTGTGCAGCTTCCTCATCTGAAACATCCCTCTGCCTCCATCTTCAGACAGGAAAATGCAAAGGTGTTATTTCAAGGGGGAATGGTCTTCAAGTGCGGACAGTAGTACTTCTAGTAACAGCCATGTCCAGGGTGTCAGAAGACCATGAGGATGGGCGGCACAAATGCCCTGGGGGCACTGGGGGGGGGCGGCTGGGGGGGGAGTCTGCCCCCCCCCATGCACAGTTTCATTACTGGTAGTGCTATTTCCTGCACCTGCTGGGAGGGGCCAGGTGCGATAAGAGCAAGGCTAATCCGAGTTGTCCTGACAGACAAGGACGCGATGGGAAGGAACAATAGAGATCATGCATTTCAATGATCTAAATTCACAAACGTGGAAACAGAACTAAACCAGGAGAGAAATCCCCTTCACATAATGGCTGTATGTATGGTAAGAACTCGATAGAAGCAGGTCCTTTCTGCACCAGGAGGCTCATCTCATTTGTTTGTCCATCGATCTGTTGCTTAGCTACGTAGTGACGGAGAAAGTTCTGCATCGTTGACACGGCTGAGCTTTCTCATGGCTCACCCACACCTGTCCTACACCCATGAGCTCTGCCTGCCTTGCCATCCCAGGACCAGCGTCATCAAGGAACACGCAACCTAGCCGAGTTCCTACAGAGGCTGGCGACTGCACTCAGATTTGCCAAATTCTGTTTAAAACTTGCCACCTCGAATCTGGAATTGCGCGTGTTCACTTAGAGGGGTTTTTCGGGGTATCGGTTTGGCGGGCAGATAATCTTCAGGTAGTTTTGTGAGGGCACTCAGTGAAGAGTCCCCACAATTACAGCGGGAATACATGACCACGAGGCAAATCGCTCAGACCCCTGTCTCTTGGGCTCTTGGGGGAGGAGCCAATGCAGAGGCAGGAGGCTGTGGCTTAAACACGTTCTATTCAGCTGATCTGGTTCTAGTACTAGGAATGTGCACCCACGACAGACGGACTGGTTTATTCAGTCACGTCGTTACAACACTGTATTCGTCGGTGCTCAGTATAATGAAGAGCAATGACTGATCGACTGCCTCTCCAGACCCTTTTGGGGGAGTTGGACGAGAACAGAACGGACATGAATTTCATCACAGAACAGGTGATCCTTGTTCTAAAAAGAAATATCATTTCCTGTTCAAGTACTTTCAATGTCCGCAGGTTTGGGGAGGCGTGACATTAAGTTCTTAGGATGTGCTGTTCTGAGGCTCTTGAGCCTGTGACAAGGTGTGAGGAAAATGGAGCTTTTCATACTCCATGTAAAAATATCTCTGAGCACAAGGCACTGAGAAGCTCTGGTTCCTAGGGTCTGGGCCAGGAGCAGTGTGCTCAAGCCTCTGCCTCTCTGACATGACACACATTTTCAATGCAAATATTTTCATGGGCTGTATTTTCCAGCGGGTGATGAAAATGTAAATGTGTTTTACCTGTTGGTGGTAGAGAGATGCCGTCCAGTCTCTCATCACCGTCCGCTACCTCTGCTGGTGGCAAACAGAAAACACAAATCTCATTAGTTTCAGGGAGCACATTCATTTTACCGAATACCGTAATATAATTTCACAACTCCAGCATGCATAATACATTCAACTTTCTTTCCCCTTTTCAGCTTCTGTCGGTTCGCATTACAGATTTTAGTACCCTTATTTAAATCAAACATTTTCTTAAAGCTAATAAGAGGTTTGCTCCTGCATTACACTTTTTTGTTTGTTGTTGTTATCTTGTGGACCTTATTCTATCAATCATTGATGATTTCGGTTCATTTTCACTTGTTTGCAGGGATGTAAATCTTCCCCCAGAATCTGGGGTGAATTGCTTAAATATGATCATCAAAGGCACTGAGGTCAGTGAATCTCTGTGGCAGAATTTTCCCTGGTCATTCCCAGAACCATCCTAACCATCCCTGTGAGGAAGGCTCAGGGAATCTGAGAATCAGCCTTTCTTTGGAGATGGCTGGACATTGGCATCAGTTCAGTCACAGGGAAAAATCAGAAGGAATAAGTGTATCTTCAAAAGCTTTGTCACCGCTGTGTTTCAAAAGGCAAACCTCTGCTCAGGTCTGATATGTTTTCATCTCCTAAAGGGTTTTCCAAAGGCAGATCCTTCAGTCAGAGAAAACCTTCCACCAAGTACAGAAAAGAAAGTGCTCATCTGTCTCCTGATAACCTATGGGCCAGTCAGTCTCCCAGGCATGCTGCAGACAGGTCAAAACATTTCATTACAGCCGACCGCTCCCTACATCCCGGGGCGAGGGTCCTCGCCCTGCGCGTGCGCACACGAGGCCCGCCACGTGGGGCCGCCATTTGCCACCACGCTGTAACGCTGAGTTGGTGGGAAGCCAAAGTAATACCATGTTCCTGTTTGTATTGCTGTGGCTTTAAACACAATCAGGGGTCAAATGTGGCTGGAGACGTTCAGAGATTTCCACTCCAGTTCACTCTCTGACACCTTGTTCTCAGACTGCGACACACCCCTGTCGCTGACCTGCTAAATCCACCACAAAGAAAATGCCCAGTGTCAAGACCAGCTCGGGCTGGAGAAGAGTGTCTACTTTTCTCCTCTAAAACGATGTTGTAGGTGAACATTTAATAGGATTCGACTCAAGCGCTAGGATAGATGGAGAGATAAAACATTTTAAAATAGGTTTACAGATGAAGTACAGGACATACTAAAATGTTAACAGCATTTTTCTCTGGATGAAAGGCTTATAGGCCTTGACAGTGTTGTTCTTTGGGTTTTTAAAATCGTTCTATATATTTAAAAAAAATAACGAACTTGTGTTATTTTTACATTAAGAAGGCATTATTTTCTTCTAATTGGTTTGACTGAATTTGAGTGGGGAGATGAGCTAGCTGGTGGTTCCTTAATTGTCTAGGATTTTAAAAAAAAGTCTTCAGTAATAATAAGAGCAACGACTGCCACCACCGTTTATGAGATGTTTACTGTTTACTGAGCAATTTATATACATTGTGTCATTTGACTCTTAGAAAACCCTACAAGGCAGGCCTGTTTTTAAGTCCATTTTAACAAACAGAACTGGGATAGAGAGAGGTTAAGAGACTAAGGTAATTTGGAGTGCCCAGCTGGCTTGGTGGGACATGGGACTCTGGGTCTCAGAATCGTGGGTTCGAGCCCCACGCTGGGTATAGAGATTACTAAAAACAATAAATAAATAAACTTAAAAAGAGAGAGAGACTGACTAAGGGAATGCAGCTAGTGAGTCAGGCTCTTAATCTCTTTGCTATTAATAATCCAAATATACATCATTGTGCATCACTATGAACTAATTGTTTTTTAAAATCTTCAACTTCCAGTTCATTTTATACTTTAGTAACTTTCTCTACTTTACATGTAAAAGGGCTTTCGATGTAGTTATCACAGAGCCCTTCCCTTTGTAATTCAGCCATCCCCATTTGTAAAACCCAGGCCTATGCAATTCTGTGCTTTAGGAAAAACAGAACATACGCATCTGAAAAACAGACAAATTATTATATGTAAATTAGTGTGTGCTAGCTGCACGCACAGGGCCAAGTGTCACGGATGAAGAACGTGGCTGTGTTACTGAAATTTAATTATAACATCTGTCTGTAACCACAGGCTCACGGACTTTCTTCTCCGGTGACAGTCAAGTTGTGAAATTTAGAAAAGACTGAGCAAGTCCAATAAAAATTTAATAGCAGTGACAGCTCTACTCTTAGATCTAACACAAATAAAAAATTGTGATTTCAGCTCTGAGGAAATAATGTAATGAAAATGATAAAAATCCACACCGGGAAAGGAATCATTCCAGTTACAGAAAAAAAATTATCACATGTGATGAGAGCCCCAAATGAGTTTCTGTTTGGATTCGCAGGACAACCTTTCACATCTGGATGAGGCACTTCTCCTTCCTAGAGGCGGTTTGGGCTTCCTTGAGCACTGAGTTGATGAGCTTGCCCAGTTAGAGTCTGTACCTCACTCCAGGAATTGGGCCAGATATGATAGATGAGGTTGAAGGTGTGGAACGTCTTTGAGACACTGTTTGTGTTATCGTTTGGACAGGGAGTAATCAAGACAAAAATCACAAGAGGGAGAGACATCATTGATCCTGGCCTCTCCGCTCCCATCAGCTCAGAAAGGAAAGGCGAGTGGGTCTATTCCCCACCTGGAGGGTCCCACTTTGATGGCCCTTGAGGAGAATGAAGTGTAATAGAATTTTGAGAAGATCAGGAGATTGAGCCTATGTGGTGGGTCACTGCTGATGTGCTGACACCTGGTCTAGCTGGGCCCATACCTCAGGGCTAGTTTTGTCCTCCAGCCACCTCCCCCTTCGCAGATGCAGAAGGAACCTGGCATAAAGGTGGAGGGGAAGTGCCAAGGCGCCCATCACAACTGCCGAGGCGGATCGGTGGTCAGAAGTGAAAATGTCCTGAATTGAATATGATGATGACCAGCGAACAGGGCGCTCCCGCAGGAAGGGAAGGGTCTGCAGGTGGGACCCTGCTGGGCAGAGGCAGGCACACGTGTGTGAGATGTGTGCGTCATGTGAGTTACTAATACAGATGCTGGATGGTTAAGAAATGTGTTCACTGGCCCGTCTGTGGGAAGGAGAACAAGGAAGGTGGAGGGACATTCAACAAATATTCTTGTGTGTGTGCGATGTGCCACACGCCATTCTAGACATTTGGGATAGAAACACGACCCCGATGCAGACTCTGCTCCTGAGGGTAACGTGGCTGGTGGAGGAGACCGGAGTGTCGTTCTGGCAGCAGAAGACCGAAGGCTCCGGGAGGAAGTCACCTTTAAGATCTGTGACAAGAGGAGGTGCTGGCTTCCGGACAGAGGGAACGCGTGAGTGTGGGAGCCCAGCTTGTCTCAGAGTAAGGAGCTGGCGGTGAGGCCGGGCAGGCACCGGCGTCTGGCAGGAGGAGAGGTGGGCGAGGAGGGCGAGCCTAGCCTGTCAAGGGGCCCGCGGGCCGTGCTGGAGGGGCATGTGCAGGGGATTGTATTTGGGGAAGACAGGAAGCTAGGAGTGTCTAATCCGGGCTGGGGCAGGCTCTGACGTAATGCTCAGGGGATGCAGTCTAGGGTCTTGGGACATGGCCACATCTGGAGCTGGTGAGCCAGTCACGGTGGGACAGTTCAAGTCCCGGGTGAGGCTTTAGAATGAGAACAGCACCAGGAATGGAAAGCAACCACGTGGCTTTTAGAACGTGGATTAGACCGAAGGAGGAGGAGGAGGCCGTGGATGAGGTGGAAGGCAGTGCCGGAGACCCGGGAGGAGAGGCAAAGACAGGGAAACCCCAGAACTTTTAAGGGGAAGAGACTTTTAAGGAGGGTGAGATCTGATGGAGTCAAAATCAACACGCAGGTCAAATGGAGTGCTGATGTAACAGAAAGGGAATCCGATCTCCTTCGTGGACGCAGCAAGGGCGTCTGTAGGGGTGCGGGGCCAGAGGGCAAAATGCAACGCGTTCTACACGGGTCAGAGAAGCCAATTCAGGGAATGCAAACCCTTTGGAAGGAAATTTGACCAACACCTTCCAGAAAAAAACCTTAGTGGTTTTAAGAAATGGCAGGGATAGGAGCTCCCAGTTGGCTCAATCGGTTAAGACACCAACTCTTGATTTTGGCTCAGGTCACGATCTCACGGTTTGTGGCATCGAGCCCCATGTTGGGGTCTGAGCCGATAGCAAGGAGCCTGCTTGGGATTCTCTCTCTCTCTCTCTCTCTCTCTCTCTCTCTGCCCCTCCCACACACATGTGCTGTCTCTTAAATAAATACACATTAAAAATATAGGAAATAGTAGGGATGAAGGAAGAGTTCTGCTTTGTTCTGGGTTACCAGAGGGAAGGAGGGTAAGGGCACTACTTTCTAAGTAGTCCGCGTCAGCTCTATATTGGTGGCAGAACTTAACATCGTCTGATTCTGACTCTGAAAACACCCGAGAGGTAGATATTAGCCCTATTATATCCATGGGAAGCCCGAGGCTCAGAGAAGGTCCCAGCGATTTGCAGATGGCAGATGGGAGCTGGGAATTTGGACCAGTTCTTTCCAATGTACCTCGCTGGGTTTATTTGTGATGATTTGTAGATGAAGAAAAGGAAGGCAGAGGAAACAGAGAGCTGGGGGAAGGGCGAGCGGATGATCTATTGTCCAAGACTGAAAACGTCTGTGGGCGAAGAGGGCATCAGTCGCAGTTATACTGGGACAACAGGAGCAGGGGCCACCGGGCACAGCGGGGTGCTTCCCCCCGACCTGGGACACGGGGAGGCTCCCCAGCAACCCCGATACACTTTCAGAGGGCACACTCATTTCCTTGATGAAGACGTTCATGTCTGACAGATGTCTGGAACCTCCTGACAGCTGTGAAGCAGGCTCTGGTTTTCTGGCTGCTTCGCGACAGAGACACCAAGGACTGGAGGGCGGAGTGACGTGCCTGAGGTCCGGGGCTGGTGAGGAGCAGAGAGACCTGAGAACCAGGTCTTCCGGCCTCTGGCCTCCGCTTCAACTTGCTGCCCTGAGGCTACTATATGTTTGCACCAACGACAAGTATCAGTAGCCCAATGCTCTTTATAAAGTGCATCAATGGCCAAAACATGGAAAGAGCCTAAGTGTCCATCAACAGATGAATGGATCAAGAAGATGTGGTTTATCTGTACCATGGAATACTACATGGCAATGAGAAACAATGAAATCTGGCCATTTGTAGCAACATGGATGGACCTTGAGGGAGTTATGCTGAGAGAAATAAGTCAGGCAGAGAAGGACAAATAACATATGTTTGCACGTATAGGAAGATTAGGAGGAACTTAACAGAGGAACAAGGGGGAGAAGAAGGGGGGAAATGGTGGGGGAAAGGGAGGGAGGCAAACCATGAGAGACTCCTGAATGCTGAGAAGAAACTGAGGGCTGATGGAGGTGGCGGAGAGTGGAAGGGGGGTGATGGGCATGGAGGAGGGCACTTGTGGGGATGAGCACTGGGTGTTACTTGTAAACCAACTTGACAATAAACTATTTAAGAAAAAAAGCATCAATTAGTATAAAAGGAAGCAAAGGTTTAAAAAAACAAGGGGGGGAGGAGGGAAGATTTTAATTAAAAAAAAAAATCACCTACAGCTAAATACTTGAAGGGTCCTGATAGCTACTGTACAGAAGCGAGCTGCAAGGTTTCCCACACTGAAGACGCCCTCCGTCCCTTACCGGGTGTCTCCTGCCCCGAGTGCACTCCCGGCCTGTGCCCGGAGCTCTCCCCCCGGCGCTGGTGGACTCCCTGCTCTAGCACGTTGTGAGTGCACGTGTAAAGGGGCTGCTAGAGACACGGGCCCACGCATGTGTGCTGCCATCCTGGGCCTCCGTACCAGCCAGATGTGCGGCAGCATCTGGAGCCTGTCTCTGAAACTGGGCGCCCTCCAGCTAAAGAAACACAGAGGTGCTCGGCAGGCCGGGTGTCAGGAGGTTTGATCAGAACTGTTTGTTTTATTTGCCTTTTATTTTGAGAGAGAGAGAGAGACAGCATGAGTGGGGGAGAGGCAGAGAGAGGGAGATAAGAGAGAGATAGAATCCCAAGTAGGCTCTGTGCTCGAACCCATGAACTATGGTATCATGACCTGATCTGAAATCAAGAGTCAGACACTTAACTGACTGAGCCACCCACGTGTCCCTGTTTGTTTCTTTTAAAAATAGTATCTAGAGGTCTGTGGCCTCCTAGAGACGATTACTCTTACATGATGGTAGAACACTGGCCTCAGACGGATTCTTCACTGGTAAATTGGCTCACAATCATCTGAGGCCTCACATGACCAAATCCAAATAGTCGTAATTCAACTAAAATACTCTCAGAATCGCCAGAGCCAGATTTGAAAAATACACACTTGACTTACTCTATTTCATGTGGTGTTTCTGGTAGGAGGGATGTTGTTATTTTTTTACCTTAAGCAACTGGTACTTTTTATAAAAAGCCATGTAGATCCAAACAAACAAAAATCAATAGGAAACAGAAGGCAATCACAAAAGAGACACTCAGTTTCACAGATGAGACACATAAGGCCACAAATGAGATTGGCCACCTTCTTCATTTATACTATTAAACAGCCTGACACAATTTTTACTATTTAATCGTCAGGTGAATTTCCAAACGCATTTGCCTAAGACTTGAAACTAGAAACCAGAGCACATTAGATAGAGCTTTTCCTTCAAAAGACAAAAAGATGGTGAAAATACCCTAGAGCACAGAATTCTATTTTACACTGTCCAGGATTTCAATAGAGGGCTTCTGCAATTATTTTCTCGCAGCTTATTCATACCTGAGCCTCTTTTTAACCTTCTTCTGGCCAGTTTAATTTGATCTTGTAGAATCTGTACCCAGTCTCTAGGGCCAGGAAGTTTATCCACGTGATTAGCGGTACAGTATTTTTCTGTGAAGACTGAAAGAAAATGTGAAATATTGTTAAAATTGTTAAATACTTTAGCAGATAAAAAAAACATGCAGATCTGAAATAGGAATATATCCCAAGAAGCAAAAAAAAAAAAAAAAAATGTATTTCTAGAAGACATTAGTTCTGCGGTGCATGTCTTCAATACCCACATTATGTTCCTTTGGTAAAGACGGAGGTTGGCGGGGGCCCTGCTTACATCCAGTGTGCTGTGCTTCGGAATGAACCCGGCTATAAAATATAAGCAGTTCGAGTGGTACTGCTCTGTCCACTTGCTCTACACCCACATATATGTGTCTTACGGGCAGAGAAGAAAATGCTTCCTGTGGGTCCACTGGCCCCATGAAAAAATTCAGCAAATAAATTATTACTGTCGTTAAATCTAATCCCATGCAAGGTTACACAGAAAGATGGTGTTCTCGTGGTGATTCCTACTAACTTGGTCAGTACTCAATAATAATGCAGTTGTATTTTTTTAAGTTTATGTATGTATTTTGAGGGAGAGGGAGGGAGAATCCCAAGCAGGCACAGAGCCCAAGCGGGGCCTTGAACTCACGAACGGTGAGATCATGACCTGAGCCGAAACCAAGAGACGGGAGCTTAGCCCACTGAGCCACCCAGGCGCCCCTGTGCGGTTGTGTCTTAATGAGAGTCCCCATTTGTACCTGGAGTCATCCTGTCGCGGGCTGTGCTGGCACCGAGGAGAGTTACGTGATAAGCACAGAGGGAGCTTTGGAGACAATGGTGGGACAGGACGAGAGGGACACAGGACAGTGGCGTTACGAAAGTCGCACCACGTGTGGCTGCACAGCTCGGAGCTGCCGTGGACCTTTCTGACCCCCTTCACTCCCGAGCGCCTGCACACCCGTCTTTGCTGTGCTCTCTGTGAAGACGAGGCCTCCACTCACACTGCCTTCTTGGTATTTAAAATACTGGTGGTTTTAAATCTTTAAAGGTTTCTTTTGAAAACAGAAATGACAAAGGAAAACCTTGACAGATTCAACTATATAAAACTGTAAGAATATTTTTCTTTTTTTTAAAAAAATGTTTATTTTTGAGAGAGAAAGAGTGTGTGAGCAGGGGAGGGGCAGAGAGAGGAAAACACAGGATCTGAAGCAGGCTCCAGGCTCTGGGCTGTCAGCACAGAGCCCAACGTGGGGCTCGAACTCATGAACCATGAGATCATGACCTGAGCTGAAGTCAGATGCTCAACTGACTGAGCCACCCAGGTGCCCCCAAACTGCAAAATTTCTTTTTTTTCTTTCTTTCTTTTTTTTTTTTTTTTTTTTACAAATAGTTTATTGTCAAGTTGGTTTCCATATAACACCCAGTGCTCATCCCCACAAGTGCCCTCCTCCATGCATATCACCCTCCCCTCCCCCCACACCCATCAGTCTTCAGTTTGTTCTCAGCATTCAATAGTCTCTCATGGTTTGCCTCTCTCCCCCTCCCCCACTATTCCCCCCATCTTCTCCCCCACGGTCCTCCGTTAAGTTCCTCCTAATCCTCCTATACGTCCAAACTGCAAAATTTCTATTGAGTGAGAAAGAAACCTTTCCTTAAAATGAGAAAATCTAGTGCTAAATACGACCGAAAGGTTCAATATCTAACCCCCCCCCAAAAAAAGAGTTCATTCAAATAAAAAACAACTTCAAAGGTCTCTATAGATGAACAGAGTGTATCTAGGAAAAACGTTCAACCAACATATAAACCGAAGAACTGCAAAACAGTCTCCTAAATTGGAAACACAATGAATGTTAAGCTAACAACACTGCTAAAATGGTGGGGACCTGGCACGCTCGCTCAAATGTTACTGTTGGCATAAATGGCAGAACCTTTTGGGGAAATGAGGTGGTTAATACAGAGCCAGGGGCTTAAAGCTGTTATGCCTGGGAGCTGAGAATCTTGCTCCTAGAAACTTACCATCAGGGAATCATTAGAGAGAAGCAAGAAGCCCATACACAAGGGTAGCTGGTGTAGTCGTGGAGGACACGGTGAAGCGGGGCAGTGGAGGGGCTCTAGGTCTGGGAGTAGAAGCAGGGGACGGGGTGTGGGGGTCCCTGCAGGAAGCCACTGCCATCCTCTGTGTTAGGGCAGCGCAATGAAGGTGGCGGGCGTGACTGGAATGGTATCTAGAACTGGCGTTCTGGGGAATCCTGTGACTGGTAAGGACGGGAGCAAGGGCATGTTTGAGGGCCAAGGTGGGCTGTACTGGGTTTGGTTTGGGCCATGCTGATTCGGGGTGTTCGCGGAGCACCCATGTGGGGGATGGCTGGCAGATATCTCCGCACGGAAGCCTGGATTCAGCGAAGGGCTCCAGGCAGATCTGGGCTTGGGAGGCACACGCCTTCATGTGGCGATTAAAACAACGAGAAGAAACGTTGGCCAGTGCGAACACAGCGAGGGGACAGAGCCCTGGGTGAGCGAGGAGATGAAGGCACAGGCTTGGCTAAGTCAGGAGACCCGGAAGCGAGGTCTTGTAAAGATGGGTACAGACGCTCTCTCTTGCACTTCAGACTGAGCGTTCTACCTGTCTCTCTCTCCCTATCTCAGAAATAAATCTCTCCTGGGTCTGTGTCTGAGACCTTTGAAGGCACAGCATTAGGCTTCTCGAAAACTACCTATACAAACAAGTATTTCCACTGGGCGTATTACTGGCATTCTGTTTCATGGATTACATTCACACTTAAAAGAGACTTTCAACTTGAATCTATCTACCGAAGATGCACTCTTATACTCTGTGACATGTGCACCTGGGACCTTAGAACAAGACCAAAAGATTGTCATTGTATTGATCCGAAAATGCTCAATATGCTATGTGAATAGAGGTATCGAGTAAGCAGAATATATTTTGCTGTCTGAATCTGTAGCTAAAGGTCAAGCTATTATCCTGGTAACAGTTCCATTAGGAGTAATGATGTGAAAAGAGGTATTGCATTAATGCACTGGGTTTCCTACTATGTTAATAGTGGGTCATTAAGAATCACAGAACAATTTGCATTCATCCTTAGAATGCAATAGGTACTAAAAAGAAATTCCCCTCTTCTTCCATTCTAATACAGTAAGGAGAAGCAAGGGCTAATTTTAAACAAATCCAAATAATCCCAACAGGCGGATTAAGGCCAACAGTTAAACTAAATGAAAGAGTTAAAGCATCTCCTGTGCTTAATATAATTTGAGGTCCCAAGGTACAAAGAGTATGTTAAGTCACCAGGGAAATGACAAACGTTCAATTTGATCTGTACATGAAGAATGACTTTTCTCATATGCTTGTGTTCATTTGAACCGTGCCCTTTAATTGTATCTAAATAATGAATCAGCTAGTGGTGGCTGAGCAGATCCTTCCCTGGGAACGCATTTAATGTAATCATCAATGAACAGGCGGTGTATCGTGTGTCTGAATGTGACATGCTGAGAACGGAGGGGATTGGCCACGTTCCCCAAACAGCTATCTGTTCGCACAGTGGTTCCAAGGGGACCCTTCATTTGGATTTTTCTGGCTCCCTTTGCTGGGAAAAGCAGAATATGGTGTGGCTTTTTAAAGGAAGTCACTGGATCGCACACTTTGAGAAGCAAGGGGAGACCGACAGAGTTTTAGTTTCACCGTGGAGCCTTCGAATGCGGCTACAGCTGGCCGGCAGTGATCTGATGACGCGGTTCTAAGTTATGGTCAAACGGGCAAGTGGAAATCAAGGTGGAGGTCAAGCAAAACTGAGGGCCGGTTCGTCGCGGGCCCCACCAGTCTCCCAGAGCGCGAGAGGGGCTGGGGAGGAGGGTGAGAAAGAGAGCCCCCCGCAGGAGTGTCCTGGGGCTGTGCCAAGGAGTGGGGGTGCTCGGACCAGGCGGCCGGCAGAGGGGACGAGGCTTCCCTGCAGGCTGTTCACACTCCACCTCCTCACCTGGGAGCCCGTGGAAGGCCACCAGCACCAGCAGCTTCTTCCTTCCTTTACTCTTTAACCAACTGAGCCACCCAGGCGCCCCATTCCTTTACTCTTTAAAACTATTCTGTGAAACTTCCCATGAGCTAAGCACTTGTTATACATCTATCTCATTTAACGTTTGCTATAACCTGATGGTGTATTTGCAATCCTGCATTACAGACACAATCAAGGTACAGGCAAGTTAAATAACCGGCCCCAGACCACACGGCTAATAGGGATTGTTTTCTGCATAAATTAAAGAATTTTTTTTGCTATTTTCTTTTTCTTTTTTTTTAGTTTTTTTTCTTTTATTTATTTCTGAGAGGGAGAGACAGTGTGAGCAGGGGAGGGTCAGAGAGAGAGAGGGAGACACAGAATCTAAAACAGGCTCCAGGCTCTGAGCTAGCTGTCACCATAGAGCCCAACGTGGGGCTTGAACCCACGAAACGTGAGATCATGACCCGAGCTGAAGTCAGATGCTTAAACGACTGAGCCACCCAGGTGCCCCGCTATTTTCTTTTTAAAAATTTTTTATTCATTTTTGAGAGAGACAGAACATGAGCAGGGGAAGGGCAGAGCAAAAGAGGGAGACACAGAACTCGAAGCAGGACTCGAAGCAGGCTCCAGACTCTGAGCTGTCAGCACAGAGCCTGATGTGGGGCTCGAACCCACGAACCGTGACACCATGACCTGAACCAAACTCAGTCGCTTAACCAACTGAGCCACCCAGGCACCCCTAAATTATTGTTTACTTTAAAGTTATATATGAGCACACAGGTTTTGTAAGGGTAATGACTGAATTCTAAACATAAGCAAATCAATAGCTAAGTTCATGCTTCCTGCGAATGCCGTGAACGCTAGTCTCACTGCCATCTGCACAGAAGTGTGGTGGCTAGCAGGGCAGAGGGTCAGGTGGGTCTGTGAGGTCACCTCCCTTCTAGATCAAGGGCGCTGGCTGGCCTGAAGCAAGGAAGCAAGAAGGAGACTGAGCCTTGGGTAGGACAGGTCTACAGGTCTTTTCAGCTCTGAGCCTGAGGACTCTGGCCACGTTTTATAGGGTGCTAATAGAGC